GTGCTCGAAGCCTTCCTCGACGACTTGACTGCTGGTCATCTTGGTTTTAAGAAAACTCGACCGCATTCGATGTCGTTATTACTGGCCTGGCCTTTCTTCTAGTGTAGCTCGGTACGTCGGTTCCTGCTACCCATGCCAGCGTCGTAAACTCCCCACGTCGGCACCTGCTGGACCTCTACAGCCACTTCCGTGCCCTTCGATGGCGTTCGAGGTTGTAGGTGTTGACCTTTACGGGCCTCTCCCCGTCACATCTGCTGGCAAACGATGGATAGTGACTGCCGTGGACCACCTGACACGCTACGCTGAGACTTCCTCTGTTATTACAGGCTCAGCTGTGGAAGTCGCAGACTTTATTCTTCACGCAATAATACTGCGTCATGGGGCTCCTCGTGTACTGCTCAGTGACCGCGGCAAAGTGTTCCTGTCACAAGTTGTAAATGAAGTACTGCGCGCTTCTGGAACTACTCACAAGACAGCTTCAAGCTACCACCCTTAGACAAATGGTCTCACAGAAAGATTTCACCAAACCCTTGCAGACATGATAGCCGTTTACGTCCAATCCGACCACAAAAACGGGGATACTCTTTTACCATTCCTGACATTCGCTTACAACACCGCCGTTCAGCGAACAACCTGCTACTCACCGATTTACCTCGTGTACGGACGCACCCCGACTACCTTTCTCGACGTCTCCTTCTTTAGCAGCCATGGGAATTCATGTCAGTCTTCTAGCGAAGAATACATTTCCCGCCTGGCCCAGTCTCGCCATCAGGCTCGCATCAATACTTAAGCAAGACAGCACGAGCGGAAGATCATCTATGACGAATCCCACCGCGTTGTGTCTTTCCAACCTGGTGACGAGGTGCTGCTTTTGACACCTATTCGCACTCCTGGTCTCTGTGACAAATTCGAACCACGATTCATCGGGCCATACATTGTTTTAAAACACACTTCGCCGGTTAATTATCGTGTGACACCACTCGTCGCCCCAACAGACCGCCGCTACCACAGCACAGAGATTGTCCACGTTTGTCGCATGAAACCTTTCACGCGAAGTTCCCCGTCACTTTGACTTACGGCGTCCAGGGTGTCCGCTTCCAAGTGGGGGGAATTAGTGTGGGCATTTGTAACTTACATCGTCCTCATCCCTGCATAATCACAATCACCATCATCCGCTTGTCTCTTTGCCCTCATTGCCACTCTGGTCATCATCATCGTCATCGTCTGTGTGCTGGCTCTGCCCGTTCGTTTTGCGAGGTCTTTCCTCAAATAAACGCTGTCGCCGACAAGACTACCAAGACTTCATAATATATATATATATATATATATATATATATATATATATATATATATATATATATATATATATATAGTGCAAACATTACGTACGACGGTATTTGTAGAAATAACAAACAATATACCTTCTGCGAAATTACTTTGCGTCTGGCAACAATGAGCTGTGAGTTTCGGTTTGCTATCTCGTTTATGTCAAGATGTGGTGTTTGCATGGGATTACGGTATTCTCACGTTGTATTGTGTGTTTCGGCGCTCTAATTTAGCCGCTCGTGATCGTTGTGCTACAAACATGTCGCAAGGCAACGCTTTCCAACTGCCGGCCACACCATGTGGAAAAACGACTTGGAAGTTCTACTGTACGTTAGCGAAAATGTCTCTGCCAGCCTCTGCACATCGGTGTCGTCTCGCCAGTTGACGAAATCGTACAACTTTGCTGCCGAGGCGTACACCTCACCATCGTCGGTAGCAACGAACACCTGTGATTTGAGGTACGTGAGCATGCTAGCGCTTCGACAATGCCGGACGTGAACATCGGTAGTCGCGTGTTCTCGCTAGCCGAGTGGTAAGTCGAGCGAGGCGTCGCGTAGCACGTGCGCTGCCTGAAGACGTTAAAAAAAGGCGATAAATTAAGCAAACGTAAACTCTTTGAGATTGTGTTAAATGTCACCATTCATTTGTACAGTTATCGAATTCTGATAGTTGCTAGTTTTCTTACCCCGGTTGGTTAATCTGATTACAGAATGAGCGTAGAGCGCTTGATGACACTCGATGACAACGCGGAGCGCCCTCTCGGCGCTCTTCACTGTGGCAGTAACGCTTAGTCGACGAGTGGGTTACAAGTTATCGTTGGCGTTATGCGCGAGCGGCAAAGCAACATCTTAAATGACATAGGCAGCGCTGTATATTCGCAACGACGGCCTACAAGAACGACACGAACAAAGCCCCCTAAACTAGCTGTTCTGAAGTAACATAGTCGTGCTAATTATTTCACTTACTTCATCCGCGCAGGAGTGCAATCAATGGGCTTAAAACGTACACTTTCATGTACAAGCCATGGAAAGCATTTCCTTTGCCAGTGCTTAGTTTACTCAAAATACTGCTGTGTTTTAGGGAGGGCCTTGCGTACGCTAGAGCTGCCTGCTTCAGAAGCCAAAGGAAAGCAGGAAAACCTTACAAGGTGTATCTGGCAATCAACTCCATCAGTGGGGCTGGACAGATGCCACTTGTGAGTCCCCAGCCACTGGGGCTTGTAGCCACATCCTTGCGACAGTGTGATTGATCCCATTACTGAAAAAAAGGGCTTCAAGGAGGCACCTCCAGAGCTGTCGTGCACTGAACTTCCTCAACAATGGTGGTGCCCAAGGCAACAAGGCATCAAGGCAACAAGTCTTCAAATTGTTGATCGGAGAAGCCCTCGGCAAGACGGCGCATCAGTGACCATCTCAGCTAGTGTGTCTGACATGTGCTCCAAGCAAGGTGACGAGCAGGAGCAGCTTATAGTAAGCACAAGCTTGGAGAAGGCTTGAAGAAACGTAGAAATCACAGCTTCGGTTCCATGCTGTTGGCTGCGAAAGGGCCAGTTGTTGAAAAGAGGCTTGGTCTTGCACCAGTGGTTTCTTCTCTGTCCTATCAGCAAGCTCTGCTGCCCTGGGGTTTCGAAACCTGGCTGTCGCGTGACATCCTGCCAGGAAGTGGGAAAGTCACCATCGTTCCCGAGTTCCTTCTATTTGATGACGGGGCTTTGGTTACCGACTTGCCCTAAACATGCAGTCTTGATGAGCAGCATATGTCGCAGGACATTAAGACAGATGCCTTTTTCGTCTTTTTACCTGTTCTATTAGTGAAGACATCTCTTTATACTTATAGTAGTCACTGTGCAACTGCGCATTGTACTATATACAGTATACTGTTGCAAAATTTCAAGAGCGGACTTTGTGTGATGGATAAGTAACGGTGAAGTGCAGAAGTAATGAAACATTGTTGGAAAGTTTGCAGAGGAGCCCCGCCGTGGTGGTCTAGTGGCTACGGTACTCGGCTGCTGACCCGCAGGTTGCGGGTTCAAATCCCGGCTGCGGCGGCTGCATTTCTGATGGAGGCGAAAATGTCGAGGCCCGTGTGCTCAGATTTGGGTGCACGTTAAAGAACCCCAGGTGGTCAAAATTTCCGGAGCCCTCCACTACGGCGTCTCTCATAATCATATGGTGGTTTTGGGACGGTAAACACCACAAATCAATCAAGTTTGCAGAGGACACGTACAGGTGCTGTAGTACCACTCTATCTTTGTAACAGTAGAAGCTCCTTGCAAAGTGTCATAATACCATGATGCACATATAATACTGCAGTGTACGCTGCTGCATTTACTAGTGAGACGTTGTCACCCTCTGGTTGGTGCCGCAGAACCTAAGTCCTTTTTGCGCCATCGACAACCTAAAGTACTTGGGTGTCACATTTTCACAAGTCTTGAGGTAAACACATTACCAATACATGCGCCAAGGTATTCAAGAAGCTAGGATTTCCACGTATAAAATGGAACAAGGCCTCTCCAGCCATTAAACCCCTTGCATATAAAACTGCTCTGGCCTATTCTAGAACATGGAAGTATAGCGTTGGATCCCCATCAAAAGTATCTTTGCGACAAACGTGGAAGATTGCGCACTAGGGCTGTAAGGTTTATTTAAAGTATTCAAGGCACGACAGCACATAGGAACTATGCAAACAAGTGCGCTTGGAAACATTGTCTTGCCGGCATCGTGTTGCTTCTATGATGTTTCTTATCTCCTCTTTTATGGTCCCATTAAATCGATTAGGCGACTACATTAATCTGCCCAGTCATCACTCTAGTGGGACTAGCTTTGATAAATGCATCAGGCCATTCTGTGTACACAACAATACATTTAAATACTAGTTCCCTTGTGCTTTAAAAACTTGGGAGTGCGCTGCGAAGCTGTATATGATCCTACCCTCGAACAGTTTTGTTCATTTGTGGACAGTCTGATGGAGCCTTTATAGTTACTTCTTTTGATACAACAACACAGAAGGTATCTTGCAGTATTGAACTGTAGTGTTTTTTGTTTTGAATTTCCTATGTTATCTGTAATATGTGATCACTAATCGTACATCTGTTTTCTTTCTAACCAGCAGCAAAGTGTAACAGGGTGGGTAGTATATTAATAATGCACTGGCTTTTGAAAAGTGTTTCAGTCTTACTCGTGTCATTCCTACTACCTTTTAGGACATGTCATATGTTACTAAATGCTTGTGATGTATGTTTGTTCCCTTTATGGGTGTGCGAAAAACCTACAGTTTGGTAAATAAACAAATAAGATTCATTTATCTTACCTATAAGGCACATCTAATGTTTTCAAACTTGTGGCATTTGGTGCATGCAGGATCTCCAAGTGACTGCAGCAGAGGCACAAGAGCTGGAGATAAACTCCCGGTAGCAGTCTCAAAGCAGCTTATGGCAGCACGCCAAGATGAATCGGCTGACGGCTTCCTGCTTTGGCCGAGCCACCAAGCGCTTGAACTGGACGGAGAAAGGCCTCTGCAATTTATTAGAAGCTGAGGACCTTTCTCGAGTGCGCGCCATTCAGTATGAACTGAGAAACGAAAATTTTGCGTTAGATCGATACTGCTCTGTTATGAAAACCCATGGGCACAATGTTTCCGTACGGCATTTATTTATTTGTTTATTCATTTATTTACAAAATACTGCAGACCCATTTAAGGGCCCCAGCAGGAGGGGCAAAGATCATAACATTGCACACAAGTGTAAACAGCAAGAACAAAAAGGATACATCATATACAAAAGATACAAAAACATAGGTCATTGTTAAATACGCTCCATTGCCTCTACACAGCTGGTTAGTGATTGAGGTACGCAGTTCCAGTCGTTTATGGTTCGAGGAAACAACGAGTATTTGAAAATGTTTGTTCTGGCGAAATACGGTTTTAATGAATGAGTTTGTCGATGCCGGGTTTGTCTTGTCGTAAGTGGTTTCAGGTACATATCACGGTTTACTGACAGCTTCTTGTTATTTAAAAGAAAAAGAAATTTGAGCCTGTGAATTTTACGACGTTTTTCAAGTGTGGGTATATTGTTTTCTTTCATAAGGTTTGTGGGGGAATCAGTTCTTCGGTACTTGGAGTAAATAAAACGTACCGTTTTGCGTTGGATTAGTTCGAGAGCCTCAATGTTTCTTTTTTGTGTATGGGTCTCAGACGATTGAGGCATATTCCAATGAGGGGCGTATAACAGTCAAATAAGTTAGTTTTTTTACAGTAGAAGGAGCATGCTTTAGTTTGTGTCTCAAAAGACCAAGTTTACGGAAAGACGATGCGCAAATATTCGAGATGTGCTTATTCCAGCTGAGGTCGTTCGTTAGAGTGACACCAAGGTACTTATACTCAACAACCTCAGCTACTGTCTGGGTACCGGATTGATATGTAAATGGTAAAATATTTTTTTTGTTGGTTACTCGCATGAAGACGGTTTTGTCTGTGTTTAACCTCATCTCCCATTGCTTGCACCATGCAAAGATATTTTGGAGGTTAGTGTTTAGCAAGACCTGGTCTTCATAGGAAGTTATTTCATTAAACAGCACACAATCATCAGCAAACAGTCTGATCTGAATCGGCGAAGAAACAGTATCAACAATGTCATTAATGTAAATTACAAATAATAAAGGCCCAAGTACACTCCCTTGGGGAACCCCAGAAGTTACAGGGAGCGGGTCAGAGCAATTACTGGCAATGCTTACAAACTGAACGCGGTCAGACAAATAGGAAGAAATCCAGGAAATTATAAATTCTGGAAGGCCAATCGATTCCAGTTTTTGAATAAGCTTATCATGAGGAACAAGATTGAATGCCTTTGTGAAATCCAAGAATATTACATTGACTTGACCTGCCTTATCTAAAATTTGTGAAAAACTGTGCACAACAGAAATTGACTGAGTTTCTGTGGAAAACCCTTTCCTGAAACCATGCTGAACATTCTAAAGTATGTTGTTATCATTAAGAAACGTTATAATAAATTTAGCTATGATATGTTCAAGCACTTTGCAAGACGAAGACGTTATAGAAATTGGACGATAGTTTGGAACCAAATCTTTATCACCTTTTTTGTGCACTGGAGCAATGCGTCCCACTTTCCAGTCACGAGGCAAGCGGCCGGAACGGATGGAAGCACGGAAAATGATTATAAGGAATTCCGATAGCATTTCGGCACATCGTCGTAAAAAAGTGTTATGAATTTGGTCAGGACTGGTTGAAGTTTTAGTTTTCAAATTCAGCAGCAACGAAACAATAACGGGTAAAGATAAAATATTTGGAACGTCGTCATTACTTCGAGAAAATTGGTGCAGTGGCTTGTTAGAGGCAGAAAAAACGTTATGGAAGAACAAATTGAAATGATTGGCAATAGTTTTCTTGTCGACAATAGTTTCTCCTTCATGTGGTATTTGTTCAACACAATTGGTCTTTTTGCTCAAAAAGTTCCAAAATATTTGTGGGGCAGACGTTAGAAAGTTGGGTAGAGTATCCTGAAAGTATCTAAACTTAGCTATCCTCACAGCCTCGTTCAGTTTGTCCTGGGCAGAAAGAGTAATATTGCGTGGAGCACCCTTGCGTTTAAGCCGCTTTAGTTTCCTTTCCATGTGCAAGACATCTCGCGTGATCCAAGGATTTGATTTGCGCGTTTTTTTTACTTTGCTAGGAACAAAATTATCTAGACATTGCAGGCATATTTCTTTGAATTTGTTCCACAATTTTTCAGGGTCAGTTCCTTGAAAGCTGCTGAGGGAAAGATCGAGGTAGTCCAGAACACTCTCGTCGTTTGCACGCGAAAAGTCTTTCACAGTAATTGATTTGGCATGGCGCGTAGCGCAAACAGCCTGCATGGGACAAGAAAAATAAACCACGTAGTTATCAGAAAGGCCAGGTTCGACCGATACAGAAAAAAGTTCAACCGATCTCGTTATAAAAACCTGGTCAAGCAAGGATGCACTTGCGCCATGCACCCGCGTCGGTTGGGAAACAATTTGATGCATGTTTTGGCTTGTCATAATATCAAAGAGGTACGATGCATGCTCACAGTTTTTTGTGTTCAGAAAAGAAGAGCTCCAATCTATTCCTGGCAAGTTGAGATCGCCTGTTAGTATTGCCTTATCATGTCTGCAAGTGTTCATGTAATCGTAAAGTGACCGAAAGAAATCGGGCGGTGAATCGGGTGTACGATAAACTGCAAGTACGACGAATGATCGTCCCCAAAAGGAAATTTTTATAATGACACTTTTGTGGTCTTGAATCTGATGTAATAGAAAAGATTTTATGTCGTGTCTGACAAGAATAGCAACACCGCCTCCTCTAGAAGCTCTACCTCGTCGATATGCCCGATATGACGGCGGAAATACGTCCTCATCGCAAATTTAAGGCCGCAACCAAGTCTCGGTTAGAACAACCACATGTGAAATGTAGCCCAAAATCAGCGCTTCTAATTTCTGCGCTTTGTTGACAATACTACGAGCGTTCAAGTTCAAAATTCGTAGTTTTTTATTAACAGGAGTCACGAGTCAGGGACTGGGTGGGCGGATTTTTGGGCTGGTTATTTAACCCTCGCGTTCTTTGCATTGTCCCATTTGTACGTATCCCGACCTACATGAATTTTGTCGTAATTGAGGGTTACCTTCTTTGCCTGACCTTTTTCAGACTTTGCGCTCTCCCACAAAAGCTTTCTTTTCCTGAGAGTCTCTTTCGAATAGTCGTTTTGTATTGATACGTCAAAACCTTTAGGTTTGTGCGCGTTCTTTAAGATCCTTTCTTTCTCGTTGTAGTCCTGAAAGAACACAATAACTGGACGTTGGCTGCCCGGCTTTTCAATTCTATTAGTTCGACCGACAGATCGACATGGTACTTCAAGTTTATTGGCAAAAAGATCAGTTAAAACGTCCCTCCTCAATGTTTCGGTGGTTTCAGAGGGATTTTCCTTGATGCCAAAAACAATAAGATTTGAACGCCTACTTCTGTCTTTCAAGTCAGTAATTTTTTCTTGAAGAAAGTCAACTTTTCGTTCAACATTATCCACTTTGTCTACCCTTTTTCTAGTTGATTGATTCGCACAGACAAGTCTGTAAGTAATCTCTGCAGGCCATCCTGCTGAGTTCGTAAAGCAGCCACTTCGGAAGTCATCACCTTCTGGCCCTCCAAAATTTGCTTTAACATTTCATGAGTACTATCTTTCGCGGACAGACTGTCGGATACATCGGAAGAGGGTCCGGGATTCATCTCAACGTCACCGCACACAAGTAGCTTGCACAACCAACATACATCATAGGCAATGTGAAGGCACTTCAGTGGGCACGGCAGAACCAGAAGACCACGACAGTCACTTTTTATAGAACAATAATAATCACCAACAAGGTAGGCGAAAGGCTTGTGAGGCAACATGCTGGAAACTGGTCCACTGTGCCCACTGAAGAAGAACGCCTGAAACCCTTCTTTTAAAGGCTGGCTTGTCGATGTCACGTGTCCATCAGCTGGGGTGTTATGCAGGGCCGATGGGAGAGGGGAAGCCGAACTGGATAACGTTGGTGCGTCCGGGTAGTAGAGGCACGTGTCGGTAGCCCATGAAGCAGTGGTTTTTTCCGATGAATGGGCGAGACCAAGCAGCAAACCCTGCACAAGGTAGGCGAAAGGCTTGTAAGGCAACATGCTGGAAATTAGTCCACCGTGCCCACTCAAGGCTGTTTGCAGGCTGTTTGTGGACCCAATGTGCGCATCACTTGATGCTAGCCCTGATCGCCTTGTTTTGACCCTGAAGAATCAAGCTATGAGATGCTAGAGGTCAAATGCCCCTATAGCCTTGAAGAAAGCACTTCGGAGGTTGCTAGATCACAATGCACTTCACTAAACTTTAGTGAGAACAACTTGCCAAGCCTACAGAGAAACCACGAGTACTATGCGCATTTCCTGGGAAAAATGGGCATCGCCAAGTGTCATTGGGTGCCTTTTGTTGTATACTCGGCCAAATGGGTTGCCATTGAGCGTATTTACTTGATGAATAAGAGTGGGAAGGTACGAAAGCGAAGCTTGATGATTTTTATTTTACGAAAATGCTGCCGTACCTTGCCAGAAAGGCGTCGCACTCCTCTGATGGAGCTGTAGGCCCGTAAGTGCGCACTTCTGTGTTTTCCAAAGCTGCTACGTTAGTGTGTGCTCTTGTATATACTGCTTCTAAAAAGTAGAAGGCACACAGGTTTAAATGTGTTTGTACCAAGTTTTGCTGTACTGTCAATTATCATCATTTTGGCCATAAAAAAATTGTGTTGCTTTGTATTGCAAAAGTACCCATTTCATGATGTGCTTTACCACTTGCTACGTATAAAATGTGGAAATCATGCTTCCAAAATTTACATTTCTGCCGTCGTGGTATACTGAAACTTCGCACAGTTCTACTTTAAAGGGGTCGCCCCGCCGCGGTGGTCTAGTGGCTAAGGTACTCGACTGCTGACCCGCAGGTCGCGGGTTCAAATCCCGGCTGCGGTGGCTGCATTTCCGATGGAGGCGGAAATGTTGTAGGCCCGTGTGCTCAGATTTAGGTGCACGTTAAAGAACCCCAGGTGGTCAAAATTTCCGGAGCCCTCCAGTACGGCGTCTCTCATAATCATATGGTGGTTTTGGGACGTTAAACCCCACAAATCAATCGTTACTTTAAAGGGGTCATGGAGCACCGCTCAGGCTCGTTCAAAAAACACATGCTGCGGAAGGCAGACGCAGCTATGAACGTCTGAGCCAAATATGACAGTCATGCACGCCGCGTGAAGGTTACAAGCGCAGCGTGAAGTTGCCGTTTTCTCAGGCGCTCTCTTTTCAAACAGAAGCTAGTTCTCACTTTGCATCGTGGGCAGGCACCTGATCCACTGGCGTCACGCTAATGACACTGGCAGCTGCGTGATGTCGAATAGACATGGCATCTTTGTTGGGCAATAGCCAATATGTGTCGAGAGCAGCGTTCGGATCAGATTGCTTTTTGCCATGGGGTGCCGCCACTTTCCGGCGCCGCATTTCTCGGTAGCCGTACTTGCAAACACGAATCAAAGTGCGAGAGAGCTATCGCGCTTCGTCAAGCGCGCTCAAGGTCATAAAGCGTGCTGATGTAACTTTTTTCCCCAGTTCCATCCCACCTTGGGCAGCTTCTTGTCCACTCGTCTTGGCGAAAAAAAGAGAGAAAGCGCTCTGAGAGTGCGCTGAACCCTGTAACTCCGCTGGTTCTTGACGAATTCGAGAAACTTCAGCAGCAATCCATTCGGGAGGTAGCTAACAGCAATACTGAGTTCTTAGATCAGTACGGGAAAAATTGGTTCATGACCCCTTTTAGCTTATATAGTTTATCTGGTTTTACTCCAGAATTGGCAAGTGTTATATCTCAGTTAGGTAACAAGTACAGGCGAAGCATTGATGAAAAGTCGCAGTGAAGTCGGCCAGCTTAAACTAACTGTTTTTTAAAGGACCTTCGACGCAAGAATTTTGGTCTGTCTGTCTGTCTGTCTGTCTGTCTGTCTGTCTGTCTGTCTGTCTGTCTGTCTGTACATTTTCCTGTTTGTCTACTCCCACCAGCATCGGGTACTCGAAAAGGCCGATACCATCTGCAGCGCCCACCGATGTTGCTCAAGGTTGAGCGTTTATGCTCGTGCTATTGTCAATTAAAAAGCAATTATTGCGCATGTCTGGCGCACCATAACAACACGCATATATTATGCATATGCATCTCTTACTAGACAACGCATACATGAGTAATTTTAAGGACCGTAGCGCCTATCACGCTGCGCTTACCATGCAACGCTTGCACGGAACGGGGAGTGTTTCCAAAGCTTTGCTAAGACGAGGTGGTGGTGGCACCTACCCGTCGCCTCGCGTTCTACACCTTTTTTTCCTTCTGCAGTACAAAAAATTGCACTGCTCTTATTGATGCACAAGTATTTAATTTTCAGTTTATTTTGATATTCTGGGTGCTACTATGTGTGACATTGATGTAATAGTGCAAGAAGTGAAGATGCTATTAAACTCTTTAACTGCCAAATCCGAGCTGTACTCGTCATATGAGTTTGTACCAATAACTTAGACGACTCGCACTCATCCGGCCTGATCTTTAACTCATTCCTCCCCCAAACACATCTCACGGTTGACAATTGATTTCCTTGCACTTATGAACACTAGACGGCTTTTGTTCTTCAGAAAAAAAAAACGCATTTCGAGCTTTTTGCGCATTTCGAGTCTGACAGCGACTAGGACATTGTCCTGGCCCTTGATATTACTTCAGATGACGAGAGCGATGATCACAACGGTGATGCAACGAGTATTTCACACCATTAACTCCATTGTAGTTAAAGCTTTTGTTGAGACAAAACAATGCATATGCATTTTCAATGCATTACTGTGTATAGCATCAAAGAAACACTTATACTTTCGGTATACGTTCTGACCCATTACAATGGTATGTGTTGAAGAAAAGCTGCCAGAAGCAGCAGCTTTTATTTTTGGATTTCTGTGTCAATGCTAATTATAAATCAGTCATGTAATATATTTTCCAAATTAGTATGGCATGAGAAAATTGACCACTAATAGAAAATGGCAATATTAGTAAGTTTTTCGCGAGTGAAATAGGCAGTAAAGGGTTAAAGGAGTCCTGACACAAATATTTTGGCCCCACGTTTTGTTGTTAAAATGTGTTGCTGGAGGCCTGTTAGTGATAACAAGACACATCGCTTGCTGTGGTGCATGACGAATGAATAATTACAAGCCCCTGATTGTCAGCCTTTCTCAGTTTTGGTTTCAGAGAGTTCGAAAAACGACATACTGCCGGGTGCAAATGCCACAACCTAGCTTGCGCAATCTCAGCCACATCAGCACAGAGCTGGGACGCACTTAGGCGTGGTCCACGCAATGGTAGGGTGGTCCTAGCAATGGCAAGCACGGCAAAAGATAAATGGCGGCTAGGACGTCATCACAACTTGTGGTACCTGCTGCAGCGTGGTGGCATAGGGGAAGTAGGGGGTCACCTCGGGTCACCTTCAATGATGTCAATGCCGCGAGGTACAGGGTGTAGCAATGGATCGTGCATGCGACTTTGGATTTGAGTGTCTGTATGTACACATGCGAAATGGAAAAACTTTAGGTTCAGTTTCGATCTCCCCTCCTTTGCCCCAAATCTTTCTTTATGGTTGCATCTCTGCCTTAGGTAAATTTACAACCACAAATTAATCGCTTGCTAATGAATGTAACTGTAGAATATCACTTTGCATCTGTTACGACTACGAGCATACTGCCTTAGAACGTTTGCAACGAGTCGTGCATGAAGCATTTCATAAATAACTTGTGTGTTAACTGCAAATGATATAATTATTGTTTGAGCTGCAGGTGAAGTAGTGTTCCTTGGTATGAAATGAGAATGCCACATTTTGTCTAACGTGTATGCTCACACGGTCTCAACCAAACCAGTCCTTGGCATAGCTTTTTGCTCTTAGAGTATAGTACCAATGTCAACATGCTTGAATTGAATGTCAACACATGCCAACATGTTTGAATGTTTTTATAAGCATAGCCTATGACTGTTATTGTGCTTGCAAATTGATATGTGGTGACGTTGAAGAAAATCCTGGGCCATCTGACGAGGAAATGTTTCAAGCATAAATGGGTGGATAACAAGCAATAAGAAATGATATGTCGGCCTTAGAAACCTGCCTTAGGACTACGGCAAATGCGGTCTATAGTTTTGAGAAGTGCTTTACTCAGTTTGAACAACACACAAAACCAAGCACCTGTGCAAACTTGGCTCCTAGTGTACGAAAAATGCAAGAGACAGTCAAGTTGCAGCAAGCCAGATTGATAGATCTTGAAGATCGTAGTAAGTGGTCAAATCTGATAATTTTTGGCATTGCGGGAATTATCAAGACACCTATTACTTAAATTTATTCATTTACTTATTTCACGAAAACTCTAAAGATCCTTGTTTGGAGGGTATTAAATATGGAGGGAGGAAACAAATACAATACAATAAAAATATAACAAGCATGTGAGTTTTACAAAACAAACAAGGCTTGAATAAATATAATGAAAAAGGCAACGCAGTAACGCCATACGTATTGAAAACGTTAACATATATTTAGAAACACAACGCAAAATAACAGTATCACACAATTATAGAACAGATGAAAAAAAGCAAAACAAAGTTATTGCAATCAGAGAAAAACACTAAACTTGGCTACCATTTTTTAACAGTTTTGTAAATTTCAAAATGTTGCTTTCTATTGCAATATTTCGAGGCAGCTGGATCCATTCGATGATGGTTTTTGCAATAAATGAATTAGAAAAGGATGATGTGGGGCACGTGATGCGTTTTGGTCTTGTGAGGATGATCACGGCAAAGAAGGATGGCTAAGGGTGACTGAAAGAAATCGTCATGGAGCAACTGATGATGATGGGAAAGGTTATCAAAGCCTGCATGAGCTTTTAAGACAATAACGCTGGTGAAATGAGAGTAGTCAGAGAATAAGAAGCGAGCAGCACGGTTCTGCAGGGATTCTATATTATCGATAATGTACCCTTGTTGAGGGTCCCATGTGAATTAAGTGTACTCAATTTTAGGGCGGATTAGGGTAACATACGCAAGTTTGCGC